AAATCAAGTTTCAGTGCCGACGATTTTGCCAGCGCAGCATGAAGTTCGGATCTTGTTATCTTTTCAATCGCTTCATCAGTATCGTTGCCTGGCGAAATTAAATTTCATTTGAACAGCTCCGGCCTGTGTTCAAGAGTCAGACATTAAAAATGTGTTTAGAAAATTTGAGTGAGGGTATGTACTTGGCCTAGTATAAGGGATGTGCTCCCTCCCTCCACAATTCAAAGCGCTCCGCCGCCTCTGAATTGACAGAACTGCATACGAAAAGAATGTTCCTTGCCTTACATCCTTAATACAATAGCCATGTTCTAATGCAAATGTCTACAGTCAGGAAAATAAAATGTCTGAAGCTCTACTTAAGTAAACAACATCAAGGTCAACAAACTATTTTCCTTCGCAAACGATTCGAGAAGATGGCCATCGCAGCCAACTACAATAACAATATATACCATGAAATAAAATACAAGACTTTGAAATCAGTTATTCCGAAAAAAGTTGAACTCACAGCTCATAGAACATTTCATTTCAAAGAATGTATACCATCTAAAAATGATCGACGAAAGTATAAGAAAGCGGAAAAACTGCGTACGTTTAGTAATAATTACTTCCAAAACCTGTTTAAGGCGAATTTGGCACGACCGAGAAAAGAACAGGTTTTGCTTGAAATTTCATGGAGAGCCTCGGTAATTATGAAACATAATGGCGAAAAAATAAATTTTTATTAAAACAACGACTCTGTGTCGCTTATAGTTTGGTTGTTTTGCTTAACTATTTCACTCCCCAGATCTAATTGTCAATTCTCCGCACTGTCTCCCATACATCTCTTATACTTTTAAGTAGAGGAATTTGGTGTTATTCAAACAATATCGCCTCTCATTCCGTTGGAAAGTGTATTGATAGTGTAAGGAGAAACTTCTTTTGTGTCACCTCAGTTAAAAAAGCGACCTTGACGCGTTTTTAGTGTTTTAAGAGTGGGAAAAAATACCTTTATCTTGAAGGGGGGGGGGGTCTAGTTCCTTTGCATTTTGGAGACGGTTCTGTTTACGCATTATTGTCTAGTATTTCACCCCCTTCCCCACCCTTGCTAGACGGGTCGTTAACTATACGTAACGTGTAACAAACCCACAAAACAAGAGGGAAATATTTAAGCAAAACAAATATAAGATTGTTTTCTTTTTTTTTTTTACGACTGACATATTAAAAGGCTACTCTTTCACTTTTCACGTTACGATGTCACCTCTTTGTCTTATGTGCCATAATGCCCATAAGACGGAGAAATATTTGGTCTACATCAGCCAATGTCCAATTGAGTGTCGAAAGAATTCCCGCAATTAGGTTTCCTCTTATTGCACCCAGGGATTATTCTAAAAAACTTAGCCTAGCCTCTCAACCAATCAAAAAGAAAATTAAAACCAATCGCGACCTGGTGGTCCGCGTTTTCCCGCGCTTGGAACAGTTACCTCCTTTCAGTTTTCACTGGCTTTTTGGGATATTGTCCGCTGTTCTGATTGGCTGATGTAATAAGTTCAAGGACACTCAGTTGAACAGCCCTCTCACCAATCATTTCATTTTGAAAAACTTGCTCACACGACCTTGTCAGTAACAGGAAAAATTGGTAACATTGCAAACCCATCTTGAAACTTGCCATGATGTCAGAATTTCATTCTAAGATTGAATTTCTAGGTAAATAATAATCCTCCACTTTTTTATCGCTGACAAGATTATGTAACAATGTTTGGTAAACGGTTTACTTGTACACTAAATTCTACATCACCTTGTCTAAAGCTTCACTTCTTTGCTAACACATTCATGACAATACTGTAACTAATTCTAACAATTTACATTCTGAAATCATTACATTATGTTACATTTGTGTAAATTTGAAAGCACACAAGTAGACAGAGCAAAATGTCTCATTAAAATACTTTCCTCTTTGACTATTGATATGAAATATCTCTAGAACTGTACCCAGCTAGAATCAGAACTCCTATGAAAAGAATGCAAAAAGAAAAACAATGGATAACCGTTTGAGGCTGTAATGGCGCAAAATTGAATTCAGGTTAGCTTAGACTTAGCTCTAAAGAACAAGCACTTTATGGCCAAAGTCATCAGTCACCATCAATACTTGAAAGGTGGTAACTGGCCGTCTACTGCACACTGTAAGACTCCCTTTTTGGGGTCTGCCTCATGGCACCAGCCCCCAATTACAACAGTGACTTGAGTAAAAAAAATAGTGAAACCAGGCCTGAATCATCGTATTAGGGAAAACATCTGACACTTAAGATCCCTCTCACCATCTAGGAGGATACATGAGTTTTAACATACTCTCAGGAAAGTTGATGAGGTGCTGAGGAAAGCAATAAACTGCAATAGACTAGAATCCTGTCTAGTTTTAGAACCAGTACTCCAAACCCCTAGCTGAAACTCTTAATCCAATTTAGCTTGGCCTGATGCCCATGCTGGCCAGCAGTTTTCAGGCATGAGCATGTGCACTGTACTCAGTGTTTAAACCAGAATTCACTTACCCTGATGCAGAAGTAAAATCTCCCCAATCAGATGTTGTACTCTGTTGTTGACTTTGTTGTGGAACTGTTGACATGGAACCAAAACTTCCCATGTCAGGGAAGGGAGCCTGAGGTTGAAAATTAGGACTTGGTCTCCTCCCAGATGCAGGTGATGCCCCTGCCCCTGGGGGTGGTGCTAGCTTGGGAGCTAAACCCCCAGGGGGAGGGGGGATGACACCAAATCCACCTCCTGCTATAAGAAAATGAACCAAAATTAGTTAGGAATGAATCAAATTTTTTAGAAATAAAGCTGCATGATCTTCCAGGTGTGTAACATAGTCAGGCAAGTGAATTCTGAATTATATTAAGACAAAGTTGCCTTAGGGCTAGATCAAAAGCATTTAATTTAGTTAGTTAGTCCTCTTTGTGTGTTTGTGCATCTAAGGCCTCCGGTAGAGAACACCATTAATTTCTGCCGGTTACCAGCAGGTCAAGTAACCCCCATGTCCAGGCTCAGTCCACCATTTCCCTTTCTACATTCCTCCTCCAAAAGCATTGGTGTGCGCAAAATCCAAGACTTTGTCACACTTTTTCCAAACCATTGCTTTAATTTTCCAGACTATGAGTCAAGTCACATGTATTGAGCATAACCATGGTTGTCACAGACCTATTCAAATGCTGAAAATCGATTGATCACACTGAGTAAAAACTGTGTATAATGGGTATTACATTTGTCAGAAACTGGCTGAAATCTCATTTCAACAGATTCCTTAGATGAAAATGTCACATCATATGAAATTATTCTTCAAATAACCTATCAATTTTTTAAATCCTTCCTGCATACATTTCTGTAGCAATAAAATTATATCATTCACAAACTCACAATTATCCAAAAATTGTTCATTTATTTTTAGTATCAAATCAGGCAAACCTGGCTTAGGACGACTTGTTGCACTTGCACCAGGTGCACGATTCTGAAAAGTTAAAATTACATTTCACTTATTGAATGTACTTGAAATATGACAGAAAGGAGCTACATCGCAGTTGAGGCATCTTGAAAAACACTGTCTTTCATAACATGTTTTAACCCTCTCCATTCTTAGCTACTTGTTGCTTGTTTATCATAATGATTGCTCTTTTGTGTTTTTCTGTCTCACAGTGCCAATGTTCTACTAATCTCCTTGAAGTTGGAAGCAAAATGACTTAAACAATGTAATGCAATGTCAGTATCCCCTTAAGAGAAGGGCAAAGGGTCCTGCCCAGCAATATAATGTGGTCAATATTGGAACTTTGTTTGAAATGAAGCCTTCAGAATATGAGGATTGACCAAAAACATGACGGTGCAGTAATGGTTTCCATGTTTTTTGTCTGTTTAGTTTTTCTTACTGGTTGGGGCTTTTTAAGTGGACACACATTCAGTCATGAGTTACAGCTACATAGTATAAGGAAATACCTCAACAACAATTTTTTGCATGCAATGTGGACAACTTGTCTTGTAATATAGGTCCCCACCACAAAATTTCTTTCCCAGAACAAGTTGCAATAGGTGCTTTGAATTAATTTTTATGACTGCAGCAAGGAAATGGGAAAGTATCATTGTCATGTGTACACATGGAACATGATGTACACTGTATTGCATATCTTGGAGGCCTACTGTAGTAGACTTTCATTTATTGCATCCCTAGCGATAAACACGTAACTTTTCTGTATAATATCCATACATTATTCAGCAAACAGGAATTGAGAATATTCAAACTTGTCAGGTAGAAATTGTGATCTTGATTCAAGACCAAATTCATGAAACTGATTAACAAGGAAGTGTGTAGCAGCTAGATGGGAGAATTAACAATCAGATCTTGGGAGTTAAAGGGTCAAGCTTTATTTCTAAGTGTACTTAATTGCGAGAGACAGTCCAACTCACCCCAAGATTAATGTGAATTGTTTGACCTTCTTTGAAGCCCAAGTCTAATTTTGGAGTAAGATCAGGTTGTTCAGCTTCTGCAGCAAGTTTTTCACTCTGTTTCAACCATCTAGGTATGACACAAGAGTAAATATAAACAAAATACAGGTCATCCAAAAAATATGGAATTCCAATCTAAATTTGATAGAACGGTACATGTAAAAATCCCTATTTCCTATAACAAGTATTTATCAATTATCATTTTCAATTTTAAATAACCTTAAGGTAAGACCAGCACCATAGTATTCCCTTGTATTTTCAATGGTTTTTATATCAATACTTGGAAATACTATAAATTTTTCATAAAAGTAAATATTGATGTGATCCTGAAAATTATATTCACTTTTCCCAAAAGAAAAAGATAATCAGGTTTTTAGACATTATGACCACATAACTATTAACCATTACTAATGGTATAATTCTCAATTTTTGTGTGATATGCTGGTGTGGTTTGGTTGAATATGCAATAATGGTCATGTTGTGACAATGAGCATAGTAAGGCCATTAGTGGTCTTTGAGAAGTGAGCAACTTTTTAATGTTTCTTGCCCAGCTATTTCCCACCTTCTCCAACTCAAATTGAGATCAACATGTGGATAAGAATTTTCAATGACAAAAAAAAAATTATTGGAAAAAAATTCCACACATGATAAAACAATCTGCATATCAACATACTTGAAGTGATCTTGCAATGCTACATTAAAATCAAAGCTATCTCCTCTGTCTGTGAAACCCATTCCAATAAAAGCATGTCGACCTGCAATTATAATCAAAATATTTCCATCAAAATACTCTGCTCAAATGCTGTGAATGAATGAATCAACAAATGAAAGCATGTATGGACAGACAGCTAAATGGCAGTAACCATATTCTCTACAATGTTCTCTACACATTTCCTTTGCTTCTGACAAGGAGAATTTGTTTAACAATCAAAGCTTCTTAGGTTATGTTGCACCTGTAAATACTGCAGATTTAGCTCAGTGGGCTTTCAAAGGTCTAAACTTAATTAAGTGAACATGAAATAAAACATGATTATTACTAAATGCTTCCTAAATAAAAATACACTGAATAGCACATACCACCATCATCCACAATTTTCAAGACAAAGTAACGACTACTATCAAGAACACCTTCCACTGCAATCCCTGGGTAATCATCTACAGGACACTTAGCAAAGAGTTCACCTGTGCACAAAAATAACAGGAGCAGAACCTTTGGGTTGAGCAATTTTTCTATAATCAAGTTCCCATTCTATAGTTGATATAATAATTGTGAATTTAAAGGGATATGGGATATTTTCTTGAAAAACTAACATTACTGATTGAAACAACATGTGAAGTAAATGTTGCCAACAGTGATCTGTTCTTGGCCTTCTTCCAGGGATTTCAATAGCTTTTTCCTTAAATGCTTGCTTAACCCTTTCCAGACTAATATCAGTATGCATATTCTCTATACTGTTCCCTATACATTCCTTAGGTTACTGGTAAGGAGAATTTCTTTCCTAATCCACAGCTTCTTTAGTTGGTGATCATTTCCTCAATTCTTGTAACATTAATGTTTTATTCAGAGGTTAAATTGTTAGGAGAAATTAGATACTAGTCACTCTTAGGTGTTAAAGGGTTAAGGGGCAAAGAGGCAGTCATACCCTAAAAAGGACTCTAAGGTGAAATTCAAAGACAAGAACTTGCTCACAGGTGATGGTAGACTGCCAGTAACCAGCTTCTAATTGAAACCCTGCTTCTCCCTTTCTATTTGCCCAGGATGTTTTACAATTTTTAGCTTCCATACCATACACCCTCTGACTGGTAACCTTCTCATTCTCACATGTTGATTATTTATTCTAGAAGTCATCTTTAATTGATACAACTCACCACTTGTCTTGTCCTCAATCTTGATGTAACACTCCTTTCCCTTTGCACAGACTCTTAACCTTCCAGTCCAATCTGGCTGATCAAGTTTCCAGTCTGCAGCTCTAAGAAAGCAAGAAATTGATATTTGAGCCAAGAGACCCATGCTGCTACAGCTTATCACAGAGTGGGTAGCAGGAAGCAAAGAGGAGTATTTCCTCTCCCCCTGGATGGGATGTCAATCCATGATAGGTTACCAACTAGATTTACAAACTTTTCATGTGTTCTCCAAGCCTCCAGTATAGATTACTATGACAGTAAATCAATACAAAGTGCACTTTAATGCTAAATTAAGCAGAAGGCAGATGGAAAGGTAAATCTATTAGTTTATCAAAGGTTACTTGTGCTTTTAATTAATAATCCAGGGACTCCCTTAATGATAGACAATGTTTTTTTCCTTTCTTTTTTTGTACATTACTTTCAAAACCATCCCTTCTGTAAAGATTTTCCCATGCACCTAGGGAGGGGCATTAAGTTTATTTACTTTATAAAACAATGTTCTCTACTTAAAGATCGACTTCCATCAACCTCGGAAGGAAGAAGGTGAAGACTAACGCCCAAAATTTAATCACAATAATTGACAACTTTTTCATGGTTGTTGATGCTGTCCTAAAAACCTTCAAGATGAGCCTAAAATTTAATCAGTTGAGGCCAATTTAAGGTGAAAGTGAAGTACATTTTAAGACAGCGTGAGCATAGTTAATGCTAATATAAATTAGAGCGAACGCTACGTATTCACTAATTGGTAATTTGATATTATTTCTACATAACACTCATCGAAGTTGTATAATTTACGCATAACATTTCAAGAAACATAAAAGGCATTTGTAATTATGAGCGCGGATTTTCGGAAAACAAGTATTTTTCATTTATCTTTCAATTTGGATTCTGGATATTCCCTATAGTCAAATATCCAAACAGGAAGAAAAAAATGAATTTTTCCCAAATGGCTCTTTCCAGTTAACCCGTGAACGCGTAAAGATCAGATAAGTTCAGAGACAAAAAAATCATGCTAAAGGAACGTATCTGAGTACCTGTATCCTCGGTTGCTTGTTCTCGGAGGAATTTTGTAAATAAAACATTCATTCTTAACACACAGAACACTTTCATAGTCCTCCATGTTGAAATTAGAACAACCAGCCCAGACTTCCCCCCGTACAAAATTGAAACGTTTCCCAAAGGAGGACTGGAGCGATAGAAAAAATGGCGGCTGCGGTGTTTTGAGTTCTAATTTGAAATCGTATCGTTTATAACAAAATGCTCGAGCTAAGCGGTGTCTTGGTGACAGAAAATCTGTTTTAATGCTTTTAAGGGGGCTCTGGTTTCTTATCTATGGGCTCAAATGATGTAATCGCAGTGCATCAGTCAGTTTTGGGCAGCTGTGTTTGCTCTTCAGCTGATGTGACTTCCTTGCCAGATCCATATGATGTTGCAAGAAATTTGCTGTCAGGCTTTTATGATTATAAAAGACTGAGGCATATTCCCTCCAGAGAATTTAAGCCATGGTATGGTAAGTGTAAGCTCTTGCTGTGCCCAATCATACCACTTGCATCTCCTGATCGTTTACGGTCAATAGTGGCCACCGCAACAAACTCACCACAAAAAAACTCGCCACCACAAAGAATTAAATCGCCACCGGAGGCAACTACATCGAATGAAAGCTAAGTTGTGGTAGTGTTTTGCGAAATAAGAAGCGCGAACAAATACGACGAAAGGAACTCAAACTTTATGTCGTGTCTCAAGTATGGAACGTTAACCGTTAAATAAATAAAACACTTTGATGCCGCTGAGATTGATCAGTTTACGTATGGGGAAAACAGATGAAACCGCATGAAACTTTCATCAAATGAAAGCTAAAATGTTGTAGCATTCAAATGTGTTTTTTCAGTAAAGGGCAAAAATGTAACAATGCATAATTAATCATTGTTTGATTTGAGAAAACGTGTCACTGTTCAATTTCCTAAGGTTTCATTTGAGAAGACATGTCAAAAACTTGGGCTTTCTGCTTCATCACAGGTTCCAAACACCATCTGTTTCTTAGTGTTTGGTTCCTGGGATTAAGCACTTGCCCTCATTTTTGACTTTTAACTTCTTTTTTTTTTGGGCTTTGCAGGACACAGTTTTATAAATGAATAAGGGTATTGACATTTGGAGTGTTAGCCCTTCATCAGAGTGATCACTCTGACAAAGGGCTAACACTCAAAACGTCAGCCTTTTAACTCTTTATGGTGGCCAATGTAGGTTTTCAACTCAGTTGTTAACTCTAAATTACTTGCCACAGTTTTTTTAAGACAGTCATGTTACTAACCTAAAACAAGTGTTTTGGAGTGAATTTGAAGGGCATTTTGGGCAATTTGAGGACTTGTTAACTCATCAGTCTTCCTTGTGGGTGCCATAGGGAACTTATAAAGAACTTTGCGTAGAATATACTGCCGATGTTGTTGCGCAAAAGGTTAGACAAATTAGAAGAGATAATTATTGTTTGGCTTCTTCTGTGTTTCTTTTGAATTTCTCTGAGATTTTAACCATTATTGTGATATAAAAGCTCTTTCAGTTACCAAATGGCATTTGATAAAACTACAGCTTTTCCATCCTTTGGAATCATAGTATAATACTATGAAAGCTGCAAAAAGCTCCCTCTCCTACCACTTTTATTTCTAGGGCTTCCAGACAGGACCTCATCAGAGAATGGTGCTCAATTAATAAGAAAAATACAAAGGGAAATTTTGTAATTAATTTTTTTCCTTTGAAATGTTGCCCTGAGTTAATGAAAACCTCATACAATCTACATTTCTTTGCTAAGTGGAAAATTCGTAAAAATTGTTCAAACACATGCAAATTAGGTAATGGATCCAAATGGATAACAACACTACTACTGTAATGGAGATTTTCTTTTTTTAGGGAAATACAGGAATGGGAATACAGACAGAGGTTTATTGCAGAAATAACAGTATTGCATTAACCTTTTACAGCCCAACATCAGTATCTGTATTCTCTATACTTTACCCTGTTCATTTCCTTTGGTACTGACAAGGAGAACTCGGTTAACAATCAAAGCTCATAAAGTTGGCAGTCATTTCCTTTATTGTTATCAAATGACAGTTCTTGATGAATGATTCAGCAGTAGTGCTGTTAAGAGAAATTAGATTCTGGTCACTCCTAGGGTTTAACGGGTTAATATTTCTTCTTGTTTCTTTCTTTATAGATGAGAGTACCTTAACCTGTTTGTGCTTCAAGGTACTTCCCCCAAAGTTGACAGTGATTTCAGAACTGACACCAAACCAATCATCAGTTTTAAGGCAAAACTTCTTATCAACAAGTGACAACTTACTTGACTTTTCACCTGTGTATTCTGGTAAATCAGGCTTAAAAAAAGCACAGCTGAAGAAAGGTGATCATCAGGGTAGTTGTGATGACGAAGAGAAGATTGTGAGCAGAACATGTAACAATCCTCCTGCAGAACACCATAGCCCCTGGAGTAGGGGTGGTAGTGTAGATTGTTCTAAATGTGGTAGTGGAAAGAGCAAACTGTTGGAGGAAGCTCTAAATCCTATAAATACCTCAGCCAAATCAGTAAGTGTTGGAAAAGATAGAGAAACACACAAAAGCTATCTTGTGTAATCCCCTTACTTTTCACCTTCTTCTATTTATACTCTTATCCACACAATTCGAATATTATTTTGTGAAAAAATTACGAGAACAGTCAAACTTATCAGCAAGGGGGTGTTGTATTGAAATAACACCAAAGCCCAGTTATTCAATGGGAATTACCACAGTCCAAAGGATAAATGGCTATCCAGTGGATAAGTGTTGTATTCAGTGGATATTGCTATCCAACCTTCAAACAACCAGAGTCAGATTCTCTTCCCTAATTTACAAGGAAAGCTATGACCATCAATTGGGAGAGTTACCAGTTGGATCCTGGGACTTAGCTGGATGTTAATCTAATACATCTGTAGACTTATTGGTAATGTTCATCTAAGAAACAAAGATCATTATTTTGGGTTACTTGAAATTTTTGTTAATTTTGGCTAAATTATTCTTTTCTTTTCTATGTCAAGTTGTGGTGTGTCAGTCCTCCACGTATCAATTGCAGGAAAGGGAAAGAAAAAGAGACTGTTTTGGAAAAATTCAAGGAGACAGACCTTCTCCAAGTGAAGCAACAGTATGGATTGGATTATCATCAACGAGGAAAATGGATTGTTTGTGCCAAAAAATGTTCCTTAAAAGGTACGTGAATTACCTTCTTTTATATATACCAGTTTAAGTTTGTCAATAGAGTCATTCATTCTAATTATGTCCTTATCATGTGATTGCCTTGGTATCTTTGAAGAGTTTATATATAGTATAGTATACTATATAGAAGTATCTATAGTATAGTCTATCTATAGTATAGTATTTGTTTAAAGTCATTGTCGCTGATTTTGCTTTTATAAAATATTGATTATGAAATCTGGCACTTGGGTGTGGACTACTTGAACACAATTTCACACTGGGGAGCAGGAATTTGAACAAACCAATCTACAAAAGTTCAAATGCCTTGGGGATTGCTGAGGGGGGAGGGGGGGATGTTGAAGCTTCAAATTGGTTGTCGCATTAGAATTAGGCTTGGGTCAGGTATGATTAATCATAGAGGTGTTCTTTTTTGCAATACAGAGGAGAATTTCACAATAAAACAACTTTGGAAGAAAGTATGCTCATTGATCCAAGAAGGTCGTCTTCCTTACTGCAATGCAAAACTTCAGGTCAGGAATTTAACCATGGAGTATTCTTATGTATGTTGAGAAATGTGCTGATATTGCCAGTAATAACACTAAGACAAGGCATGTAATCTAGGGAAAGACTTTCAACCATAACAGCTTTTCTATCATTAGTTTAGATGGATTACTTGTCTATTATTAGTTTAAATGGATTACTTGTGAACTGTTAGGAAACATGGTGGAACTGTGATAGGTAACTTGCTACAGACTACTAAGCAGTGAACTCAGATTCATGTGGCTTTTTACAGACATTGCAAGATGAGGTGTGGGTGTACTGTGACTTTGAACACTCATTAAAGGTAAGCCTCAAATGTAAGGCTTGGTGCCATTTTGATGAGCAAATTCTACTTGAGAGTAAAGGGAAATGTAGTAGCATAATGGTAAGCATGCTGTTCTTTGGTTGGACAAGTCTGGGTTCTTATCCCCCCTAGAAGTTTGAGTATGTTCACCCTTTACATCCTTACATCAGTGTGCAAGTTCTCCATACTGTTATTTATACATTTCCTATAGTACTTGTTAGGAGAATTTGTCTAACAGTCAAGAGCTTCTTGAGTTTGTAATAATTTACTATATTCTCGTGACCCTAATGTTTGATTTATTGGTGATACTGTTCAGAGAAATCAGATGCTTATCATTCTTGGGGGTTAAAGGGTGAATATAACTGTAAAATTTTCAGGGTAGCCTGACAAATTGAGGTGGGTGGGGGTGGGGGAAGGTTG